AACACACCCCCCCCCATCCCCCACCACATCATCATCACCATCACCATCATCATCTTTGTCGTCATCAGGTTGTTGACGATACTCAGACCTGGTAGTAATCCCAGTATTTTGCAGTCACATTAAATACTTGTGTACTGGTTGTTGACAATACTCAGACCTGGTAGTAATCCCAGTATTTTGCAGTCACATTAAATACTTGTGTACTGTGAATACTGCAGTAGTATTCTGTCCTGTAGTCTGTACTGGACACACCTTAACCTCACTGACACGACACCACTCACCTCTGATCGTCTGTCGTCCTCCACTGACCGTCCTGCCACGCCTACGTTCACAGGATCTACAGCTCCACCTGGCTGAGGAACCAGGAACTTTGAAAAGTGACGGAGTCCAAAAATGTTCCTCTCTCCCACACTTTCACTGCCAACTGCTGCTGCCCACTCCCCTCCCCCTCCTCTTATCCTCCCCCTCCTCACCACAGTCAGCCCAGCTCTGACAGACGGAGTCCAACGTTTCTTCAGCCGCGATGATGAAGATGATGAAGATGATGAAGATTAGAAGAGGACGACCTCACGGACCTGAAGCCAATCAGAGAACGGCTGCTCTGCTAGGACGGAGTTGGGACGCTGTCTCGTCGGTGCTGGGGGGGCGGGGTCTCATGCATAACAGGTGAGGTGGTCCCTGAGGTTGGACATTATTTATGACCTTTCTTTCTCAACCACCGAGAGTGGAGCAGCAGAGAACAAAGGAAAGATCACGTCCTTTTAATCGGTTCCACGTCAGTGCACAAGAGTACCACCACGCTGAGCAACACTGGTGTTTGAACTTAGAAGAAGAAGAAGGAGGAGGAGGAGGAGGAGAAGGAGAAGAAGAAAGAGGAGGGGGAGGAGGAGGAGGAGGAGAAGAAGAAGAAGAAGAAAGACCAGTGAAGTGTTTTCTTTCTGGGTGAATCAGTTCCTCAGTTTTATCAGGCCTGTGTTGAAGGTCAATGTGGCAGACTCCCCCCCCCCCCCCCCCCCCCCTCCTCCCCCCAGATTTCATCCTGACATGGTCGTGGACCTGGTGCAGGTGACGGGGGCTGTGGTGGGTCAACAGACCGTGTGTCTGTTGATGTCTGTGACAGATCCAGTGAAGTGTTTTCTTTCTGGGATTAGAGTTTGGACCTCAGGTCAGAACCAAACCACCACGGAGCTCTGCATGTGACCGCAATCACTGAGGAACAATATGTTACCAGCTAGAGTACTACTGAGTACTACTGAGTACTACTGAGTACCACTGAGTACTACTGAGTACTACTGACTAGAGACAGAGCAGAGAAAATCAGGGCAGTTACTTATTCATGGCCTGAGTCTCATCCAAGTTTCATGAGACTAACCGGCCCCCTATCAGGCTGCGACCCAGTGTTTGGTGACCTCTCGGGGTAACCCCCCCTCCCTCCAGCCCCCCCTCACCTGTCGATGTCCCCCTGCATCTCTTTGCTTCCTCTCTGGGACAGGTCTCTGGACGACGTCACGTCTGATCTCCCTGTGTTCCTGGTGTAGAGCAGACCTCCATCTGTCAGGTACCTGTGAAGACAGGGGGCGATACAGCCTGGATGAAGCTGGTTAACCACTAGTTAACCACTAGTTAACCACAAGTTAACATCTCTGTGGACAAGAAATAACTAGTGTGAGTATCACAATGTCTGTGCATGTGCTAGTTAGTGAGTAGTAGGAGTAGTAGCAGCAGCAGTAGTAGTAGTAGTAGTAGTAATAGTAATAGTAATAGTAGTACTAGTAGTAGTCACCTGTGCTGATTCAGCGCCTCACAGTGTCCAAAGGCAGTCACTGTCTCATCTGTCTGACGGCAGATGATTGATTTCAGGTCTTTTTAAGGCATTTCCAACAAAGGCCAACCCTGGTGGACATCAGTGAGAACTGCATGTCAACGACCGTGGACATCAACTTCAACGGATGGATGTGGAGGAGAATGTTTTTGACTTTTACGTGTTCATCCACCCGTTTATTCTCTATCACCTAATGCTCTCAGGGTGTTGGCTGTGGTGGAGTAAATCCCAGCAGTCATCAGGCGAGGGCGCTGTTACACCCCAGGCGTTTAACTCACAATCACACCTGACGTCGGTTTAAACTAATCTGGACCTGAAGAAAACCACAGGGACTCGAACCACCCCCCCACCATGAATGGTAGTAGTTCCTGTGCCTCAGTGGTATGCTAAGAATGCTAGGCTAGGCTAACTAGCTAGGCTAGTGTGTGATGGTGGATGAGGTGACGTCAACAGTCACAGCTTATTTCCTGAAGATTTTATTTATTATTAATAAACTGCTGGTGTTAGAACAGGGTTAACTGGTTAACTGGTTAACTGGTTAACTGTTGTTAAAACACTAGTATTATTGGACAGTTAAAGTTAAACGTAGTAACTCAATGTTCCTCACAGTCAATGAAGGATTAATCACAGGTTTTGTTTTTGTTGGACATGGTCAGTAATAACAACCAGCTGAAGTTAGTCGGTGAGTCAAGTTAGTCGGTGAGTCAGTGAAGGCTAACGTGGTCGTCCTACCCGCTGGTGACATCATCCGTCCGTCCTTTGCTCCCCAGGATGTCCCCATCACTCATGTACCCTGTCACCTCCATCTGCCTCCTGCCTTCCAGCCCCGCTCCTTCTCCTTTCCCCTTCTCCCCCTGCTCTGTCCCCCTCAACCCTGCAGATCGTCTCAGGGGGGCGCCGTACACAAACCTGGCAGGGTCCGAGGGGCCGCAGTAGCGCCCCGTGGCGGGGGCGGTGCCGGTCGGGCCTGGCCTCGGCGCAGCATACCCACTGGGAACGGAGGGGGCGTCGCCCGCCTGGAGACGAGGGGTTTGGGTCTGACCGAGTCGCCAGGCCATGGGGGAGGAGCGGGCGGTGAGACCTGGAAGACCACGCCCGTTGACCTCAGTGGTGACTGTGGTGTCAAAGGTCGTCTCTAAAGTACTGCAGAGAAAATAAGTCAGACGTAAAGTTCAGTGTTGTTGTTGTTTCCACACAGCGTCGTTCATGTGAGACTGGAGTTCTGGTTCCACCAGGAGAACGCTGCCAACACCTGAATGAACTGGGCCTAAAACCAACAAATGTTCCAGCGCTCCAGGTACCGATTCACCAGACTGAACATGGTGGAAGGACAATATTGATTGATCTGTCTTCACACACACACACACACACAGCCATCTGTCTTGGCTGTCAGCAGCCTGTCCTCCGTCTTTGCACTCGAGCCAAAGACACAGAAACAGACGGAGACGCAGGGACGTGGACTGGGAGTTAAACCAACAAACACGGTGGTTTTTATTTTGGTCTTAACTCAAACCTGAGTCTGTGGAACAGTCAGTCCTGCACCAGTACTGACGAGTCTTCATCCATCGTACAATAATAAGCTGCTGAAATAATCCTGAGGTTCAGATTCTAATCTGTCTGATGATCAAACCCAACACCACGACTCGGCCGCTGCACTTCTGTGGACCCCCTTATGGTCACGCACCCACTGTTGAACACCTCTGGTGACAACTTTGAGTGTAGATAAAACCTGACTGTCATTTCACCAACAACTAATTTGACTCCATTAGTGAGTCCAGCGCCACCTGTTTACCTGTGGCTGATCTGCGTCCCCCGTAGGCTGGACATGGTTTCTTCCAGGTTCTGCCGCAGGTCAGCTATGTTCTTCACTGTCCTCATCCGTCTGGTCTCGGGGTCTTCTCCTGGAGGAACATTTATTTAAAGGTCATTAGAAGAAACAGACACCAGGGGACACGGGGGACAGAGAGGACACACACATGACCGTCCATCAGGTCAGGTGTGTGTGTTAAGGTTAATTTTCTCTAGAAAACTGCCCAGGGCTGATGTTGCTGGTGACCAATATTAACTACCCATGTGACCAGTCTTTAACCACAGCAGGGAGTGGAAAGTACGACCAAGAAAGAAGAAACACCACGAGAAAACAATCGGTTCCAGGAAATACAGCAGTCGGATGATTCTGATTTCATGACAGGTGACTCCAGTTACTGGCTAACACAGAAGCTAACACAGCAGCTAACACAGCGGCGAACACAGCAGCTAACACAGGGGCTAAAACCGCCGCTAACACAGGGGCTAAAACCGCCGCTAACACAGGGGCTAACACAGGGGCTAACGCAGGGGCTAACACAGAGGCTAACACAGTTAGCATGTTATTTAAACTGTTTCCATTCATCCGTTCCTGTCGTTTTTTCAATCCCAACAACAGCCTGGCTGACTGGACCTGACTGGACCTGGACCTGGACCTGGACCTGGACCTGGACCTGGACCTGCTGAGCCGACAGAGAGACGTGGGGACGTGGACTTACGTGTGTGAGGCTGCAGCACCTGCTCCAGGTCACCTAACATGGTCATGATCATGTCCTTGTCCAGCTGAGCTCTCCCCTCACGAGGACCTCCCTCCGACACCTCCTCTTCAGCCCAACCCTCTCTACTCCTCCTCCTCCTACCTCCTTGTTTTGTGCCAGGTCTGACCTCCTTATCAAAAAGGCAGCTACGCCCGTCGTCTTCCGTCTCCACCTCCACTCTGGACTTCTGCTGCAGCTCGGTCCGCGAGTGACCGCCGTGTGACGCCTGTTGCGGCCGTGCCCCGGCGGCTGAACCTCGCCAAGGAACTGGGATGAGGGAGTGTTCTGACTGGGAGAGAGTCTTAGTGAGAGTGAGGGGGAGGGACAGGGACTGAGCTCTGGTGCCACGGAGACCTCCAGCTCTTCTCACCACCTCCTTCCTGGGGCTGGTCTGCAGACTGCTCGCTGCCCTCTGTGTGGACGGTAAGTACCAGGAACAGGTCTGCGTCTGGGAACCGCGAGGCCGCGGCTCGTCAGGCTCCGGGGAGTAAAGTCGCTGCTCCCCATCACTCAACAAGGTCAAATTAGTGAGTGAGCGCTGCTTGGTCCGCAGGTTGAGGTTGTCGGTGGGGGGGTGAGGGGTCCTCCGAGCTGGGCTTCCCCCCTGGTAGAGGGAGAACTCGGCCCCTCTCTTCATCTCTGCCCACAGCGCCTCCACCTGGCTTCAGATGATGTCGTCGTCTTCAGGGAGTCGACAGATCAAACTGTGAGGTTTGACTTCTACATCCTGACACGTCACCACGCAAACAGATGGAGGACAAAGGACCCAGAGGACGGAGGACGGAGGGACGCGTCCCAGTGTCCCCCACTGAGGTCCAGGCTGCGGCTCTAGACTTCAAGGCTGAAGGGAAAGCAGACAAAGGGCAAAGAGCAGAGAGGACGTCTGTCTCAGAGTCCAGGTCCATCATGGAGACGTCCAGGGCTCATGGTCCCAGACCCCGGTCCATGTCCTCCTCTCTGTCTTCTTGTTCTTGTGCTCAGTCAGGGGCGTGGATGATGAAGCCGCTCCATCGCTCCCTCATGCTCCCTCATGCTCCCCCGTCTCTCAGTCAAAGACACTTGGCTTCTTTTCTGTCATGCCTCCGTCCGTCTCCCACCTGCCCCTGATACCCAGACAGTCCGTCCTCCCTGGACGACGAACCGGTGGTGAAGCCGGCGAGCGGTTGATACGGCAGTCTGCCTGTTCATTCCAGCACGGAGGCTGCAGCACTCCCTCTCCCCCTCTCTCTCCCTCAGCCCTCCCTGCCTGTGCTCCTCACCTACTCTTTTCTCTTTATTCTCCCTTTTTTTCTTCAGTGCTTTCTCCTCAGGTCTTTATCTTTTTCTCTCTCTCACACCCTCCTCCCTCTCTCACTACGACGGGGGGGGGGGGGGGGGGGGGTTTTTTGACATGGCACCACGCNAGTGGGAGCCGCTCCATCGCTCCCTCATGCTCCCTCATGCTCCCCCGTCTCTCAGTCAAAGACACTTTGCTTCTTTTCTGTCATGCCTCCGTCCGTCTCCCACCTGCCCCTGATACCCAGACAGTCCGTCCTCCCTGGACGACGAACCGGTGGTGAAGCCGGCGAGCGGTTGATACGGCAGTCTGCCTGTTCATTCCAGCACGGAGGCTGCAGCACTCCCTCTCCCCCTCTCTCTCCCTCAGCCCTCCCTGCCTGTGCTCCTCACCTACTCTTTTCTCTTTATTCTCCCTTTTTTTCTTCAGTGCTTTCTCCTCAGGTCTTTATCTTTTTCTCTCTCTCACACCCTCCTCCCTCTCTCACTACGACGGGGGGGGGGGGGGGGGGGGTTTATTTGGACAGTGCACCTGTGAGATTGCAGCCCCTGCAGAACCTGCTCCCTGCACCCAGACTTAATTAAAGACAACATCCAGCCCTGCAGCTCATCGTGGACCAGCAGCACAGCAGATGGAAAAAAAATGTCACCATCCGTCACTGCAAGTGTTATTAGCCCCTCCTCCTCGTAACTGCCCTCCGCTAAATAATCACCTCCTTGTTTCCACAGGTCAGAGCACAGAGAAAACAAGAAGGTGATCTTTTATTTAAATGTTTCAAACAAGTCAAACATAAAGATTCAACCGACATATATTGTACATATACTGGACAATATATGTCCACAACACAGCTTCAAAAACCCTCTGTTGACGGACGTATAAAAGCTAACAACATGCTATTGCTAATGCTAGTCACAGACCAGACAACAGGGTGATAATAGACTGTATAAAGAACAAACACCCCCTGGTGGCCAGTACTACAGTGTACAGAGGACCACCACCATCTTCATCATCTTCATCATCATCATCATCATCATCATCTTCATCATCTTAGTTCAACAACTCAGTGTCGATGGTACCAGCACTGGTCACATGGTAACCTCTTCTCTACGTCTGCATGAAGACGTTGGAGAAACAAACAAACGTGAGCTGACCTGTAAACACACGAGTGTGTTTGAAATGGACCTCAGATAATGGGAGTGGTCAGTGGAGTGGTCAGTGGAGTGGTCAGTGGAGTGGTCAGTGGAGTGGTCAGTGGTCTAACTTTACCCTGAAAATCACAGACTGTGGAAAATCCACAAACAGAGTAAAATGTGTGGAATGTCTTGACCGACCTGACGGCCCTGAACCTGTCATCACACTGTTGTTGTTGTTGTTGTTGTTGTTGTTGTTGTTCCCAGAGCTTTGAACACAACGTCTGTCACAACCTCTCCTCCACCATCTCCTCCACCATCTCCTCCACCATCATCTCTAAAACGCTCCTCTGACCCGGTCCACTCTGGTCCACTCTGATCCACTCTGATCTCTACTAGTCTGGTCTGTCTCTAACCCTCATCTCCTCCACCATCATCTCTAAAATGCTCCTCTGACCCGGTCCACTCTGATCCACTCTGGTCTCTACTAGTCTGGTCTGTCTCTAACCCCAACATCACAGTAGATCTCACCTCTGTCTGAGTGGACTGTGGTCACAGAACTGTTCACACCAGTTCTGTCAGTACCAGTGGTGTACTACTCCCAGTTGTGTACTACTACCAGAGGTGTACTACTACCAGTGGGACTACTACCAGTGGTGTCCTACTACCAGTGGTACACTACTACCAGTGGTAAACTACTACCAGTGGTACTGCTACCAGTGGTGTACTCCTACCAGTGGTACTATTACCCGTGGGACGACTACCTGCGGGGTACTACTACCAGTGGCGTACTACTACCAGCGGTGTACTACTACCCGTGGCGTACTACTACCAGTGGCGTACTACTACCAGTGGGACTACTACCAGTGGTATTCCTCCCAGAGTTGTACTCCCACCAGAGGTGCACTACTACCAGTGGTATACTACTACCAGTGGCGTACTACTACCAGTGGCGTACTACTACCAGTGGTAAACTACTCCCAGTGGTACTACTCCCAGTGGTACTACTACCAGAGGTGTACTACTACCACTGGTGTACTACTACCGGTGGTACTACTACCAGTGGCGTACTACTACCAGTGGGACTACTACCAGTGGTTTTTTACTATCAGAGGTACTACTACCAGCGGTGTACTACTACCCGTGGCGTACTACTACCAGTGGAAAACTACTACCAGTGGTGCTACTACCAGCGGTGTACTACTACCCGTGGCGTACTACTACCAGTGGGACTACTACCAGTGGTGTGCTACTACCAGTGGTGGACTAATACTAGTGGAGCACTACTACCAGTGGTTTTTTACTATCAGAGGTACTACTACCAGCGGTGTACTACTACCAGGGGTGTACTACTACCACTGGTGTACTACTACCACTGGTGTACTACTACCGGTGGTACTACTACCAGAGGTGTACTACTACCAGCGGTGTACTACTACCACTGGTGTACTACTACCCGTGGCGTACTACTACCAGTGGGACTACTACCAGTGGTGTGCTACTACCAGTGGTGCTACTACCAGCGGTGTACTACTACCAGGGGTGTACTACTACCACTGGTGTACTACTACCCGTGGCGTACTACTACCAGTGGGACTACTACCAGTGGTAAACTACTACCAGTGGTATTACTACCAGTGGTGTCCTACTACCAGTGGTATTACTACCAGTGGTGTACCACTCCCAGTGGTACTACTACCAGAGGTGTACTACTACCACTGGTGTACTACTACCCGTGGCGTACTACTACCAGCGGTGTACTACTACCCGTGGCGTACTACTACCAGCGGTGTACTACTACCAGGGGTGTACTACTACCAGTTGTGTACTACTACCAGTGGGACTACTACCAGTGGTGCTACTACCAGCGGTGTACTACTACCCGTGGTGTACTACTACAAGTGGTACTACTACCCGTGGCGTACTACTACCAGCGGTGTACTACTACCCGTGGTGTACTCCTACCCGTGGTGTACTCCTACCCGTGGTGTACTACTCCCTGTGGTGTACTACTACTGTACTACTACCTGATATTTCCTCCAGGCACTGCTTGGCTGTCTTGCTGTACACCAGCTCCCCCTTGGTGGGGCTGAGGCAGGGGTCTGCTGGGACCATCATGGTGCAGTCGTTTTCTGAGAAAGTTCTGAAAGAACCAACAGAGAACCAACGGGTTAACAGTGTGTTAGCAAAAGAGGCTAATTTAGCCACTAACCACCATCAGGTTTTCAAGGTGAAGGTGAAGGTGAAGGTGAAGGTCCTCTCCAGCTCACCTGTACATGAAGGGGGCCACAGTAGCAGTGTTGGGGTGGTTGTGCTGCTGCTGCTGTGGAAGTTGAACCACTCCATTTCCTCCCAGAGCTCCTCCTCCTCCTCCTCCTCCTCCTCCTCCTCCTCCAGACAGGGCGGAGGTGCTGGTGGAGGAGGTCAGGCTGGTCCTTTTACCCTCTGGGCTTCCAATGGAACGTTGCATATAAACACTGCCCCCCTTGGTCAGCTTGTTGCCCTTCTCCCCCTCCCCCCCTCTCATGTTGCCGCTGCTGTTCAAGGCAGACTGGCCGGGGGTCTGGGACTGACCCTGTGGTTTTGCCGTTGTTGTCGCTGAGGGGGCTTTGAGTCCAGGTTTGGGGATGCCACTGGAGGCGGGGGCAGGGCCTCCGTCTTTCTTCCCCGATGAAGGCTTCCCACCCTTGGGGATGAGGCTGGCGATCTTGGACGTCTTCTTGTTGGAGTCCACGAAGGTCTCATCTTTGGACGGAGAGTTGTCCTTGGAGGACTTCCCAGACCTGCTCCTGTCCTCCTTGTCTTTGGGGGGGGCCGCGGTCCGACCGCTGTTGGCAGAAGATTTAGAAAAAGACGAGGACGGCGATGAAGTCTTACTGGGTGGATTGAGTGAGGATGGGGGGGTCCTGGTGGGCGTTTGTTTGACTGCAGCACTGCTGCACACCAACCCGGGGGGCGTGGCTCCATCCTCGCCGTACTCCGACAGGTCGTCCTCCTCCTGCAGAGCCATCTCTGCTACAGACGGTGACGCTCGCGACGCCGACCTGGGGTTGATCAGACGAAACTTGTCCAGCATGGACCTCTGAGGACCGCCCCCCCCCACACCGACCCCCAGCTTTGAGCCGTCGCTCCCATGTGACTGAAGTGCGTCTGCAGCCGGGGGGGGGTGGTTGGTGGAGGTGGAGTGGGTGGGACTGGCCAACATTGAGGACGTGGCACTGTGTTTAAGGTTCATCGACTTGCTGCGCCAAGATTTACCACCAGGGGGGGAGGGGATGGCAGAGGCCAGCTGCTGCCCACTCAGACTGGTGGGAACTGCCCCACTGATGTTGCCCCCATTCATCCCACTGGGCACTGGGATGCCCCTCACTGCCTCTACAGAAGACAAGGAGAGAAAATGTGAAAAAAAAGGTCTGACTGTCTGTCTGACTGTCTGTCTGACCTACTGTCCGTCCGACTGTCTGTCTGTCTGTCCGTCTGACTGTCTGTCTGTCTGACTATCTGTCTGACTGACTGTCTGACTGTCTGTCTGTCTGTCTGTCTG